TATATATATATCAATGTCTATCTACCTATCCATCTATATATCTTTGCTCTCTGGCTCTGTTAAAATAATTGATGTACATGTGTGTATTTATGTGATTCACCCGGAACCTTTGACAAGAAACATTATTAGAGCAGGTAATTAAAAAAGCAAGAAATACCTTAAAAGGTACTTACATCAATTCTCGCACAGAAAGTGGTCGCCGGTCAACTGACCACTTCACTCTTCAATTGCTGAGTTTTGCAGAGTACGGTACTTCTTTTCCACACACTACACCCAAATAGTTTTTCATGAAGAACAGATGCACAATCTGGGCCCTTGACGTACGCGGGCAAGACGAAACGACTGCCAATCGAGGCTAAGGCAAGCTGTCGGCGCAAACAATCGACCGCTGATTGGACAGGGCCCTCGTCGAAATATTGGACGTTTATGTTAAGGCGATTTGCAACTTCAGAATGCGCAAAAACAACCAAACTCTTTAACACTGTTTTAGAAAAAAATCAAGGCTTCTAATTTGGACAAGACATTAAGAAAAGGTGAGTAAAGCATTTATTGTATAATTAAGGCAAACATCGAAAATACTGTACTAAATGTTTTCAGTGACGAATGCGGCAAACTTGGTAAAACTTTATGCTGCTCGGATGACCGAAAGTTCCTTGCACTTGCAGGGTCCGCCTTTAAACGTGGTGCGATGCCAGCCGGTTCAAATCTATTCCACAAACTGGGAGTAACGCAGAAACGCAAACGCACACGAGACAATCAAGCGTAAAAAAATATAAAAAATTGTAACGATATCCATTGGGGTGCACGGTCCCCTTACATCAGCCATCCATGAACGTTTCTGTGGACTCTTTCTCATCCTTTCAACGCGCAAAGAAAAATAGTTTAAATTAAAAAAAATAATTATACTTTATTATCCCAGAGGGAAATTTTCCTTGGCTGTACAGGACCGTAAAAACAAATGCAGGTAGGAATAAAAAATATAGATTATATATATTACTCTAATTAAAATTCAATATGAAAGGAGAAGTAAAGCTGACAAATGATGTACATTTACATCAAATGCATCATTCAACTACATGCAGGAATTTAAATACTAGACCTTTGGAGTTATATACAGGTACATACTCTAAGAGCAACACACATCTATGCTCATTCTGACAAAAGCCTTATGCTAGATGGTAAAAAACTTCTTTTATATCTTTCTTTCTTTGTTTTTGGAGGTACATATCTGCCGCTGCGTGATCTTACAATTTGTGTGGAAAAGGGGTGTGATGGGTCGATTATAATGCTTTTTATCGTTTTTATATGTGTGGTGTTATACATTTCATCCATTCTAATAAAATCATATCCAGAGATCTTGCTGGCTTTCTTAATGGTTCTGTCAAATTTTTCTTTTTCTATCACCTTACAATTCCCACCCAAGCAGCAAATACAAAATAATACCACACTTTCAATCATAGAATGGTAAAAAAGGGATATAATCTTATTGTCAACACGGAATCTTCTTAATTTCCTTTAAAGAAACATTCTTTGGTTTACTTTTTTATGCATAAGAGCAGCGTGGGGATGCCAGTCAAGTTTGTTGTCGATTGTTACACCAAGATACTTGTAAGAGCTTACCACCTCCACCTCTTCATCTTTAATAAATAGTGGTTGCAATTGGTCTTTTTTTAAAATTCTAAAGTCTATTATTAATTCCTTTGTCTTTTTTACATTTAGTATACCGAAGTGTTTATCACACGAATTTGTAAATAGATTCACAGCGTCCCTGTATTCATTCTCATTTGTTGTTATAAGGCCTTGTAAAGTGGAATCATCCGCAAGTTTTATTAGTTTGATGTTTTTGTTATCAAAAGTACAGTCATTGGTGTAGAGCGTAAACAAGACAGGGGAGATTACACAGCCTTGGGGGCGCACCGGTGTTTGTGAATAATATGTCGGATTTTACACCATTTAATTTTACATATTGAGGTCGATTGGTTAAGAACTCAAGAATCCAAGCTATGATGTTCTTGTTTATGTTCAGGTTAATTTTGAAACCATTATGTGCTGTTGGATTGTGTTGAATGCGGATAAAAAATCAGCAAAAAGTATCCTGCAGTAATATCTTGGTGAATCTATGTGTTTGTACATGTTATCTAAGAGCACGAGAATGGCATCCTCCACGCCTCTCTAGGCACGATAGGCAATTTGCATGTTTTCCTGTATGTCTTCTGTTGATTTCCTCAGTTCTTTCAAAACCAGTTTTTCTAAACATTTCATGAGGACTGATGTTAAAAGCCACAGGTTTTAGGTCGTTCAAATTTTGTATTGATTGTTTCTTTGGGATAGGAATTATTTCAGAGCATTTCCATGAGAGAGGTATTATTCGTTCTTTCAAAGAGATATTGAAAATATCTGTATAAATGGGAGATAACTGAGTAGAACACATTTTAATAATTTTACTTTTTACTCCATCGGGTCCACTCACTTTGTGAGCTTTCAGACGATTAAACATGATCTTGACCTCATTAACATTAACCACAAAAATTTCCTTGCTCTTGTCATAGTCTTCGTTTGTGTTGTTGTTGTTGTTGCTATCGTCTGTGCGGTCATTTTGAATCGTCTCTTTGACAGTTGTCAGCTGGTCGGAGAAATCGTGGTTGTCAAAACGAGCGTAAAAAGAATTCAGTTTGTTTACATATTGACTTGGGTTCGTGTCTTGAGTAGGAATGTTTGTCCGTTTTGGTGCGTCTCCAACTATAGTTTTTAAACATTGCCACGTCTTTTTTGTGTTGTTAACAGTGATATGTTGTTCTAACTTTTCTTTGTAAACATGCTTACACTCTCTTATTTTTTTCTTTAACATATTATTTCTGGTTTTAAATTTGTCTCGGTCTTTCAGTTTGAATGCCTTCTTCTTCTAATTTAATATTCCCTTTAACTCCTTGTTAACCCATGGCTTGTTATTTGGGAAGTATATAACTTCTCTTCTAGACAAAAGTAGGTCTTCACAAAACCTGATGTAACCAGCGATAGTCTCACATAATTCATCTATACTATTACATGAATTTTTAAAAACATTCCAATTCGTACATTCAAAGCAACCTCTCAGGCTCTCCCTGTTTTCTTCACTCCAGATGGTGACAACTTTTTAAATTGGCTTTGAAGATTTTAATTTAGGTTTGTACTTTGGTAATAAAAGAGACATGCAATGATCAGAGTTTCCTATTGGAGGTAGAGAGATACATTTGTAGGCATTAGAAACATTTACATAACAATGGTCAATTGTTTTGTCCTCACGGGTTGGTACATAAACATATTGGTGGAAAGGGGGGAGGGCAGAAGTTAAAGAACATTTATAGTTAAAATCCCCAGTGATTACTATTACACCGTCAGGACAAGAAGACTGCCTTGACAGCATCCTGAACTGCGCGAAACAGTAGTAGCTATGAACGTCGATCGATAAGCTGAAGCTGGGTGTCCCGCTGGTTGAGATTTTAATAATACTGGGCTACACGAATATTTACTAGACTCGCATCGACCTCTCTACTCCAGTCTACATTGATTCACTAAATAGCAGAGAAAATAACAACTTGGAATCAGATTTTATGTTCTACTCACCTGTTTTAAAATATTACTACTTTATCCACTCATCGCACACGTGAGGCAAAAACTTCCAGGTAAATGTTGGCATGTTATCTGAACGTGTTTGAAATAACTTATGATGTAATACTTTGATGTTAAGAATACCTACGTTTTCTTAAAATGTAGACTCTTTGCTCTGTTTTGTGCCGCTTTCCTCTAATTGAATATTTAAAGAGCATACCCATGATAATAGATTTTAATAGATACTTTAAACGTAAATACAAAATCGTCGGTCGCCTGATGAAATCGTGAATTCCACACGAAGCAGATTTTACAGGAGAGGGAAAGAACTGATTTTCTTTGACATTTGGCGTTCAAGACATAAACTAAATGGATAATTCTTGTCAAGTACCTTTTAGAAATAATACTGTAGCACATTTTTAAAACCGTAGATGGTCATTTTTTTTCGAAAAAGTGTGGGATTCACGATTTTCATATTCGAATCTCGCCTGATGCGGTCGTGAATTCCACGCAGGTGGGGATGGGGAATTCATGAATTCATCAGTAGGCTTTATGAAAAGCGGAGTTGTATTCATGGTTTTTAGGCAGTGTGCTTTCTTTTATTAGAGGCATGGTATGTTTAAAATTATATGAAAGCACGAAATACAGTTATACAAAAGATTTTGAAAGACCAATTTAAAACTGAGTATGAAATTATAGACTGAGTGAAACAGAAAGCTATTCATTATTTTACCACTATAAACATGTATCATTCTTACATTATGTAATCTTACTCCTTCATTTGCGTGTTTTCCCTCTTTCTATCTTTCTTTCTCCAAATGAGTGTACGAGTATGTATTTTTTAAATTGGGCTGGGGCTGGGGGTGGATGGGTTGAGAACTTGATTTGTATCAAACTTCTATACCCCGTGAATGACAGAATGGTCATCTTTCATTGTCTTATTATTTCTGTCTCTCAGAGCCTGAAAATTACTCTTTGCGATTTTAAAAGAAGAATGATACAGTGGTGGGGAACTGTTTGTTAAGTTTTCCTTGTCTCTGGACTTTAGAAGACTCTCCCACTCTTCATTAGAATTTCTCCTTATGTACTCGTATATATATCAGAGGCTTCATATTGCATTAACAGTTTGATCTTTTTGTCTACCCGACCTAACCGTTTTGTGGACAGCAATTTTGGCAATGTGATCCACAAATTTCACTTCATAGGGTCTTCGTCGATATAATTAGAAAAATTTAGTTCAGAAAACGACAACATAATCTAGTGGGCTGTATAGTTGTGTGCTTTATTTAAAATCGCCGCTCAATGACGCCGTGCATACTGTCTACTTGCATATGAGTGTAGCCTCTAATAAGATTTTGTGTTAAATTTCGGTGTTTGCTTTAGTGGAAAAGGCACCCAAGGCACCAGAAACAGATGCAATGTTGTGCCCACACACACACACACACACACACACACACACACACACACACACACACACACAGACACACACACAAACACACACAAACACACACACATACACACACACACTCTCTCTCTCTCTCTCTCTCTCTCACATAAACACACGCACACACACATAGCTGTATATATTATTATAACCTTACATGCATTTGTGAACGTTGAAAAAAAAGTCCATCAAACAACTTGTGAATTCATTTGCAATCAAATCACCTTGTGTCTTGTGTCATAAGTAATTGATGGTATCATACGAGGTCACATGGAAGATTATGTTCATGCTTTTGAAACAAGAGCTGGAGGAACTGATAGACCGTGCCAAAAGTACACCCTAAAGATTCATGTCTTGCCCAAGAGCAAAGGTTTTCCCAAGGCGTACCCTTTCTTTGTCCTTTTCTGACATCTGAGATTCCCGCTCAGTGTGGTTGACGTTACCAATGAGTCTACATAACAAGAGGGGCCACTTCTCTCTTTGAACCAATTAAAAAAGTGT